CTCCTGGTGCTGATAAAGGATCCCGTTTGTCCTTGGCCGATCTCAAAGTCTGTTGGATGGTTCGAGTTGGTTTGAAAATAGTTTTTACTCGGTGTTTCTCCAGTATCTTGCCAATCCTGTCCGTGACTCCATGTATGTATGGGAGACAAGCCCAACTCTTACGCTCATCATGCGTCTCTGTGCTCTCCGAGCGATCTTCACTGTTTTTTGGTCGAATTGCTCTATTGAAATCTTTCTTACTGTATCCATTCCAACCCAAGGCCCTTTCCAGGTGTTTTAATTCTCTCTCTAACTCGGCTGGTTCGCAGATTCTTCTGGCTCTTTCGGTGAGAGTTTTGATGACTCCTCTGTTCTGACTGGGATGATGGTTTGAACCACTGTGCAGGTACCGGTCGGTATGTGTCGGTTTTCTGTACACCGTGTGGGCCAGCTTTCCGTTGGCTTTTCTGGTCACCAAGACATCCAAAAAAGGCAATCGCCCATCCTTCTCCACTTCCATAGTGAATTGAATTTTAGGGTTTATTGAGTTGAGGTGCCTCAGGAAGTCTTCAAGTTCAGTCAGACCATGGCCCCAAACAACAAAATTGTCATCAACATAGCAAAACCAACACTTAGGTTTCCTCACGGCTGTGTCCAGAGCGTTCTTCTCAAATTTTTCCATAAAATAGTTGTCTATCACTGGATTAAGAGGCCTGCCCATTGCTACTCCATCCGTCTGCTCAAAGAATTCGCTGTTCCACTCAAAGTGGGTTGTGGTTAGACAGTGTTCGAAGAGTTTGGCGATGTCTGGTGGAAATTCTCTCGCAACAAGTTCCATTGCCTCCCTGATTGGTACCATTGCGAACAAAGAAACCACATCAAAACTCACGAGAATTTCCCCGGGCGACAACAACAACGAGTGCAACCTCTGAACAAAATGGGATGAGTCCTTTATAAAGCTGTCCGTTTTTCCAATTTTTGGCAGTAATATTTTAGCTAGATATTTTGCAATATTGTAGGTCGGACTTCCAATGGCGCTCACAGTGGGTCTCAGTGGTACATCCGGTTTATGGATCTTGGGTAATCCGTAGAGCCTTGGTGGGAGTGCTTCTGATTTTTTGAGCTTTGCCAACTCCTCGGATGAAAATGTCGTATCCTTAATTAATTTGTTCGTTGTTCTTAGTATCCCGTGTCAACTTCTTGTACGTTGACGGGCTCAAAAGTTCTTTAATTTTTTCTTCGTAGTTCAATGAAAACATGACCACAGTTGCATTGCCCTTATCAGCTGGCAACACGAGAATCTCCTTATCCTCATTCAGCGTTTTCAGGGCTTTTCTTTCCTTGAAAGCGAGGTTGCTCTATATTTAAACACTAATGCCCGGTTTAGTGGATAATGTAGTGGATAAAGTTATAAGACCGATAAGATTTTATGGGTTTCCGAACGGTGACAGGCAAAGTCATATCGAGCTCATAACAATCCGTTGGATAAGTACCTTTTTAATTCGACCGACAGAGGGAACTGTTTGATAGGGTATGTTCCATTTTTGACTGGTAGTACGGAAGGTGCGAAATGCCGGTAAAAAAGAAGCGGATAGTAGAGAACTTTCACTTTTGGGCATCGCAAGCTAGATGACGCCACAAAAAAGACGCATTTTGATTGGTCAGTAAACATATGGTTTGAAGATGTTTCAAAAACCGCCACAGATTTGATGTAAAAGCTCTCAGGTTTTTATCTGAATTCAGCATAACTGTTCACTAACGGACAATGAATTCCTTCTCACAGTATATGTTTTAAGGTAGTCCCCAATAAGGTCCAATAATACACTGAAACGCGAAATTCAGAATCTCCATATTTGTTCATTTGGTCCTCTCGTTCAAGATACCGTCTTGGCCGTTCAATATAACTTAGAAGTTCAACAATTTCATCATCAGAAGATAAACTCGAATTATCCATTTTAAATAACTATAATACATTTTTATACGTCAAACAAAACAAAACTGTTACGCAATGCTGTTATGTATTAAGAATAGGTTATGTTAGGTTAGAATCGCTCGGTTGTAAAAATCGTAACAAACCCTACACGCTTCGAGTAGATATCTATTCGATAACTTATGGAACCAACAAGCTTTAAGCAGACGTTGAGAAACCCAACAGACCTGATTTTGGTAGTTTATGAGACTCATAAGCTTATGTAACCGATATGTTGGAGTTCGGAAACCGGGCATAAAACAACTTTAACAGAAAAGAAAAAATTACGGCACTCAACCCAGATTGGAAGCGCGTTTTGCGCCAAACAGCGTGTGCGCCGAAGCATTTGAACCCCCACCCATCCCCCACGCATGAGCACACACGGCTGGGCTGCATAAATACGACGGGGAATCCGGCAGTTGAACCAGTCTTAGACGGAAAGCATGGGAGATCACTTGGCCCACTGCCTCATCGCCTTTGAAAATGTCCACCGCAGTTGTGGACGAAACGTCAGGAAGAAATTCCCATAGACCACGGCTTCAAAGCCCGGAAAACATTTCTAAATGTGATTTAACCGGCCGTGAAAGCCTTCATAGTCTGATAATAGAGAACTCTTTAGCTCAAAAGGCTTGTTATACAGGGTGTTTGAACCCAGCTGCCATGTGATTTATCAAGTTCTTTCCAAATGTCTCAATGAGACTTCAATACTCCCTACACACGCCTCAGGTACATTGCGCCCATTCCAAATAACTCTGTATATAAAAACGGCAGATATAATCTGGACCCTTTCGAAAAATGCGCAGACGATGAGCTCTGGAAGGCGATAGAGCGCGTAGAGCTGAAACACAGCGGCGTTGCGCTCGACACTGTGATCAGTGAAAGTGGGGCCAATTTCAGCGCTGGCCAAAGACAGTTGATTTGTCTGGCACGAGCGATAGTTAGGTAAGTTGCTTACCCTAATCTACAACGCTTTCATC